CCGCACAGCGCCGTGGGGCCCGAGGAGCTTCACGCACGGCACCTTTGAGAACAGACGACGTCAGCTGCCCGTCCGCCAGGACCAGGTGAATGAATTGCTCCCCACGTCCAGTGAAATGCACACAGGTGTTCCAGAAACAAGAGAAAAAAGAACGAGGACACGGTCTGTGGACAGCCTAAAAGGCTCCCAGGGCGCACGGCATGTTTAAAGAGTCGCAGTGCGGAGAGCGCGGGCAGCGAGCGAGTGCCGTGGTCAGGCGGCCTCCGCCCGTGGGCCTGAGCCCGGCTCCCGAGTCCGGGGCCTGGGGAGTGGAACATGGGACCATCTCGTTCAAGTTCGGTGCAAACTCGCCCCACAGCACAGTCCGCCATGAATGGCCATGAGGCCATTTTTAGCTTTTATTTATCCTGCTTTTTGTGACCGTCCAGGTGCCCAGGAAGGAGTGTTAATGCCTCGATTGCGTGGCCTGCCGCCCCTGCGAGGGTGTTTGCGGCACGAGCCCTGGGTGACCCGCACGGGCTGGACCATCCCCTGCAAAGTCGGGTTCGAGGCCCGATGGCTGCACAGTGGGTTAGCGGCTGGGCCTCGGGGGGCGGTGGGCACGCGGGCGGGCTGCTCCCCCCTGCCGGGGTCAGGCCCTCGTGGAAGAGGCTCGCGCAGCCTCCTGCCCTGGGGCACGCGGGGTCCTCCCCTCCGGAGGACGCAGCATCGAGGCGCCATCCTGGAGGCAGAGAGCAGCCCTCGCCAGGCGCCTCGGTCGTGGGCTCCCCGGCTCCGGCGCTGGAGGAAATGAATCACCGTTCCTCGTACGTGGCGCAGTCTCAGGTATTTCGCTAGAGCTGCATAAATGGACTAAAATAGACCTTCAGACACCAGAACGTTCTATCAGTAAATCCCGATGCAGATGCTGTCAGTGGCCGCCCCGTGCCGGAGGTGGAGCGGGCAGTGCCCGCGTGTGCAACCTCTCCCCTCGGTGTCTGCTCCATGAGCTGACGGTCCCGGGCCCTGGACGCTTCTCGGCCTGCGCTCAGGGCAGCACGGAAGGGAGGGGCTCCAGTTCCAGGGGCAACACCAGCCACGAGGGTTGGTCTGCAGGTCCACAGCCCGGCGCCCCCAGCACTCCAGACACCACCGGCACCCACCCCATCCCCCGCACACGTCGCCACCCCTCCCGGCCCTGCCCCCTTCCCCGTTCCTCACTTACGCTTCCTGGGACCCCTCCCACAAAAGCCACCTGCCACGCCCTGTCTCAGTGTCCCATTCGGGTGGGCCAC